ACTCAGTTTATCATAAAAAATTGTGAAAGAACAAGCACAATTTTCAGATAATCTGATCCTCCAGTCCCCTTAAAGCAGAAGAGTATACACTTTGTTTAAATAAGATTCAAATACTTTGTTTTGCATTTCATAATATAATCAATGATCCAAGGAGAGAACTTGTTTTTGATCAATTTCCAGAAGTTAAGTTCTCTCATTAGGTGAAGTTCTCGCGTCGAAAGAAAACTGTTCGTATTGAAACTAAATATATAATTAGTTGTAAAACGTTTAGACATGATCAAAGTTTGCGCAGTAATTATATTATTTATTATTACTGTTATTATGAATCATTATTATTATTATTATTTATCATTATTCATTATTATTTATATTTATTAGTTATATTATTAGTTATATTACCACTGTGTGTGCATAAACTTATCGGTAATGACTCTTAATTTTGATGATTTGGTGAGCTCCCAAATCTTCGTTGTGTTTAAAGTGTTGTGCAACCAACTATGCTCGTTTTTGGTAAGGAAATTTATGGTATTTCGGGTCATTCGGCTTTGTTCTTTGTTTTTTGTTCGGTTTACACGTATTCACTTTATTTGTATACACTTGTTAGTCCAACGGTTTTTAACTTACACGTTCGTCTTTCCGGTCAAATTAAAAGCGTATCAAATAGTCATGATTGCGAGTCATAGTTCATGTACGTATACTAGCTTTTCTACGTCGATACATTGACGTAAGAAATTCTTGAAATATGTTACTTCGTTGCAAATGTCACAACTTTAGCGTAAACTGCTACAATCAATGGATAAAATGTTGCACACTTTTACTTCGATGAGTTTTTCAACGCGTCTGGTATCCAATAGAGAAATATTCCTGTGAATCACTAAAACATGAATTCTGTTATTGGATACAGAATGTGTTGTGAGACTTTTGTTAGTGACCATTGATATATAAATTTTTCTATTAGGGAAATCGAACGCATTCTGAAATTCTTCGATATAAGAGTGTTACAATCCCCACACAGACTCTTCAGAGAGACTATCATGATTGTCATAACGTAAGGAAATCGATGTTGGAAATTCTACAATTCTTTAAATTACATTTATGGAGCAAATATACATTGTGTTTAATTAATTATAATCATGTATTGAGAATTTACCGTAGTAAGTAAAAAATTCATCATTTTATACGATGATGTAAATGTTTACCCTGTTTAAAAAATTTGACTGAATTATATAAGAAAAATCTACTTAATTAATTCGTGTCTTTAATAAAAAAAAATAATAAAATTACAATAAAAAGAATGTATAGGTATATTTGGATAAATATTAATTGTTTAGTATAATATTTAATTATTAAAATCACGCGCGATATAAAACAATAGAAATTGATAACTTTTTTTGTATAAACTGAAATGCGAGAAATCGACATTTTTGATAGAAATGATGAAGTTTAGGTAAAGTCATATAGTCATATGTTATATTTTAATCAAATTTGTCTATATTTCTATCAATCTTTATCCAATTTTGGAAATAGGATGTGGTTATATTGATTCAGCAACTAATTAAAAGTTACTCTCAGGTTTTTATATTATACTTTAATAGGTATGATATTTGCATGGTCCGATATTTGATTTGTTCCGAGTAATATTTGTAATAATTATTTTCGTGTTTCTTTTGTAATCTTTTGTCATTCTGTGTGGTAAATATGAGTGTCATTCATAAGCAATACAACCGTTACACATCGACTAGTAAAGTTGCTGGCAGATTCGCACACATCTGTCTATATAGGCCCGAAGAAGATGCACTGGAAATACTTGAAACAGTCGTCACTCTTTCCACTCACCGCTAATTAAACCTTCTTCTCGCATATAAGATGCTCCGCCCAAATATTCATAAGTTATTCGACGCCCCGAGTTCTCCGCCGAATCGCCGAACGAGCGAGCGAGCGAGCGAGCGAATTTAACCGCAAAAGCCAGCGCAGCGCTGATTCCGTTCGTAATCGCATTAACTTAACTCGATTTATCGCGTCATGTGCGTTTCGACAAAGTGTACCACCCCTCTCCCCACCTCTCGGCCAGTCTCGGGTGACCGCGTTTGGCACGGTTTGGTTTCAGTTTTATATCGAAGGTCGGAGGCATCTCGACGGCCGTCATATTCTTCTGGGCCGCTATCACCGCGTCCTTATCAGTATTGCCATCGACACGATAAAATTTGCCTGGTCCACGAATTCTCCTCCGGTCGAGCGCCGTTTCGAGTCCGGTTCTCTAATCTGACCCCCCAACCTGGTTGTCTGGTCGAGCGTGACTGATCGTCCTCGGTAGAGTCGCGCGGAACATGGTGTGGGACGACGGGCTCTCCGTGAAAGAGCTGTCGGAAATGAAGAAGAAAACGCCGCGGTTCCCGTCGCGGGAGCGGAACTTCGCGATGAGAAGACGGGGTCCACGCAGGTCGTCTTCCTTGATCCTCGGAGGGGCATCACCGATCGGCGCCCCTCCGGCCGAGCCGCAGTCCGCAGAGCCAGGCCGCCGCACGTATGAGGATCCTTGCAGCAGCGTCTGCAACGTGTAAGAATTTCCTCTACCTTTATCCGTAGACTTAAGGGGATGCTGGAGTCGATGACGAACTCGAACAATGTCGATAACGCAGAGACGATCGTCAACATAGTCACGTTATCTTTTTTGTATTTCTTGTATATGTAGAACTTACATGAATGTGTATTGCTTTGTTTTATCATCTTCAACGGAAAACCTAATCATATATACAGGGTGGACCATTTTAATCCATCCAGTCGAATATGTCGAAAACCAAGCACGGGAGAGAAAAATGTTTCAGACAAAAGTTGTAAGGCTTAAAAAAACGCATTCAACAATAGTAGTTATTTGACATAGGATGGCGTCGCCAGAACAAGGTCAACTTTGCTTTTTTAAATAGAAATATATATTTTTTATTACGGCATTTTATTCAACGTAAAAACGCAAATAACTTTTGCTTGAAAAAACTTGAAAAACTTTTGCTTTTATACGACCTCTATTTTCTAAGATATTTACGTAAATATCTAAGAAAATAGAGGTCGTATAAAAAATTTTTTCAAGCAAAAGTTATTTGCGTTTTTACGTTGAATAAAATTCCGTAATAAAAAATATGTATTTCTATTTAAAAAAGCAAAGTTGACCTTGTTCTGACCTTGACGACGCCATCCTATGTCAAATAACTACTATTGTTGAATGCGTTTTTTTAAGCCTTACAACTTTTGTCTGAAACATTTTTCTCTCCCGTGCTTGGTTTTCGATATATTCGACTGGATGGATTAAAATGGTCCACCCTGTATATATCCAATGAAAAATTTTTCATATATAATTATATAAAATTATATAAAATTATATATAATTATATATTATTATGTATCAAATTTGTGCATTCATGTTCATACATTCTATTTATATATATAATTATATATAATTATATATAATTATGTTTAATTATATATATAAATTCATATATAATTTTACATAATTACGCATAAATTTATATGTAATTATACATATTGTTATACAAAATTGTGTATAATTATATATAATTTTATATGATTATATATAATTATACATAATTATGTATGGACAAATTTCATACAAAATTTTGCATGACAAATTTTTCATCGGGTAGAAATCTTTCTGCAAACTTTTTTTCGATAATTTTAAGCTTCCAAATGCAGATGCGAAGGTAGAGGAATGTTCTTCAAAATTTTTCTGTTTGGAGCATCCACACTTTCGGTGTGTACAAGCTGCGGGATTTTTGGATTAGGCAAATATTACACTATCTGACAGCTTGAGACTTTACATTAAAAATTTCTTCTTCGTTTTCGTCACATATCGAGCAGTGCTCCTATTTATTTTTGCTACTTTCGTTGCGTAAAAGCATTTGTAATTCTGTGTAACTAGTACGACGTAAATTTTGCAGAAAAATGTCAGTGTTCTGCCGGTAAAGTTTTCAGCTTCAGCATCCCCTTAAGGAGACTGACTGCGCACTGACTTAGTTATAGACATAACTGATTGTGAGATTGAAGGGCACAGATACTCTGAATCAGATGTTTTCTTGGTCATATAGTAGGTATACTGTAGGGCCCGTATTAATAGCTCAAGTAATACAGTCTAGTTATATTCGCTGCGACAGCAAAAATGTGGCTAGTATGACATCCTGCCAGCCTTAATTGCAGCTGTTTGGCAGCCAATGTTATTTTGCTGGACTTTTAATTGCAAAAGTGCTGAGAAATCTAAAAAAGGCTGCGATAAGTCACTGTTTTAGCTATTTATAGCTATTCAGCAATGACTCCACAGCTATTAATAGCTGTGAAATCGCTGTGACAGCTATCAGAAAAACTAGAATGAGACGCAGTCACTTTAACTGCCTTAATTGGTTAGTCGCTATGATAACAATAACAAGAGCCATAATTCAGTCACAGATATTTTAGCTATATTAATGATTGTAAAAGCACGATAACAACTGTAAAGAAAAGTTTAAACTAGGCTCAGTCATCTTGCTATTTTTGGGATTGTAAAAGTGAGTAACTGATAAGTTCTCAAGATAAAAATACTACTAACCGACTTGGAAAAATTTTTTAAATTCAAAAAGAGTAACGTGGCTATTAATTTTATATATTAAATTTGACATATATCAGCGATGCAGACTCATGCATTCATTTATGCGGTTCTAAAATTATTATTTAAGGATTTGTGTTCTGTTAATTAATGTACTTATGAATTTGCGTCCGCTCTAGTATGTTTATATGTTATAAATTGTAATAATTTGCAATGATCTATTAATTTCTATTAACCTCTAAATTTGACTTCACTTTAATGAGGCGACAGTTTCGATTTGCCCGAAGTTCAGTTGCAGTTAAATAAAAAAATTATTTTTAATTTTCTTTTAACACACACAATATTTTTATATTATACGTTTAATTTTAAAATTAAAATTTAACTTTTACTGTATATGTGTTGTGTATGTGTGTGTGTGAGAACATTAATTTACATATTACATATGAAAAACATTTTCTGTTTATTAGTTTGTTTATTTTTATTTTGACTGCTGTAATTTGACTATGACAACCCATTTACAGAAAAATAGTTGCTAAATGGCTGCGACATCATTTTCAAAATCTGAAAATATTGTTTTGCTGTTACAATTTTGTCAAAACGTCACAGTTACAATAGCTGTGCTAGACAAAAATGCTGCGATTTAAGCTACAACAATGTTATCGTAACCGTTTTAAGCTTTTATGCGCTACTTGGGAGTTACCATCTGAAACTTATTTCATGTGATGTTCAGAATTAGATCCAAGTTTTTCAGTTGTATATTATATATGTGACATTTATATCTGTAGTCATGATTCAATTGAAAAACTCTCCTTTAGCTCTGAATTAAAATCTGAGTATCTCACTTGAGATAAATTTTAAATGATAATGATTAATACGGGTCTAGATAAAATAGAAGGATATGAGAGTTAGACATAGTGAGAAAAGGAGGGACATAATATGTATCTCGTTCGAAGAAGAGGCACAAACCTCATACGCGCTTTGCTTCTTCTTCTTTTTCTTCACTTCTTCATCTTCATGTCAATGGCTACATTCGGCAGGAAAAGCAACTCAGTAAGCGCTTTCCGTTGCGCTGGCAGCAGCTTTGCAACTGTTGTAATAATAGTTTCTTTTGATTGCCACGGGCGATTTGCGCATTTTCAACATATTTATTAAGCAGTCTCCATTTTTCCCAGCACACTTACAATATGCTGGACTGCTTAGTAAACATTTTGGAAAACTGTAAAGCGCTAAGTGTCATTCAGCAGGAAGTCTTACGAACAGTTGCAAAGCTTCTGGCGGCGCAAAATACTATTCAACATAACTATTGAGGCACGTTAACAAGTAAGTGAATCGTGTGACTGCTTCTCTTCTTCCCTTTTTTCCACCAATTAGGCAATTAGACAAAGAAAACAACTGATTTTTCATTGCCCTCTTTTACTACTTGAGACTTTTGCTACTTTTGCTACTTTTGGGATTGTAAAAGTGAGTAACTGATAAGTTCTCAAGGTAAAAATACTACCAACCGACTTGGAAAAATTTTTTAGGTTCAAAAAGAGTAACGTGGCTGTTAATTTTATATATTAAATCTGACATTGCTATTTATATCTGACAAACAGTTTGCTACTTACTTTTTTTATTACTTTTGCTGACATCATCCTTTTAACAGGAATGTACCAGGTTTTTTTCTTTAGGGCTTTTATCGTTGCATGACTCGCGCATGCGCAGTCGTGTGGCTCGCGATACTGCTCCGGTCATTTCTATTCATGTTACTTTTAGTACATACAACTTAGGTATAATGTTATGTTTGATCGTCGTACATGCGACAACGAGATAATATTTTTATAGAAGAAATCAGAATGTGATTATATTTCAATTCTTTCTCAGAACACGGTTTATTATAAATGTTCGCAATTTATTTGTTAGAACAATCCATATCACAACTTGTTTACAATAATAATACCAAAGTAATGATGCAGTCAAACTTGATGACTGCTACCAGCTTGAAGCGAATCGTTTCGAACGTACGTATCATTATATACAATTAAATATTTGTTAGAAGAAAACGTATTGTTCTCATAATCTCTATATGGTCTAATACTGCTGAAATCATTTTCGACGAAATAGGTGGGTTTTATACCCAATACTTCCTTTATTTTCATGATATTTTCTTGCGCATTGCTTTTCGATTTAGCCGTTAAAATTAACAGACAATTTTGACTAAATAATAATGCTTTTATGATGCTAGCTTCAAATTTCCTAAGATCTGCGTCAAATCCTACTATCAAATCTGATTCAACATAGAACAAATGTTGTATGTGTTGTTCGTTTAATATTGCGCGATATTCAAAATTAAGTTTTTTACCCGCGGCACGGCACATATCACAAACATCCCATGGTATGTTTTTAAATTCTGTTCCTATCATTATAATCAATAATTCTGTCCCCTCGTTTAGTGTATGCAAAAAGACTTCCCAAGCGGATAATGAGCAAGTATCCGTGAAAATTCCGTCTATAATATGAATGACAAAGCTTCTTATATGATTTACACGGAATGCGAGTTGCTCATTACTTATAACATTCAACACTGTTAATGGTTTTGATAAATAATCAGAGTAATTATAATCATTAGCGCTCCAAGTGAACTTCAGTTGGTCGCGGGTTCTACAAAAATCAATGAATAAT